ACCAAGCCACACCATGCCCACCAAGCCATGCCCACAGAACTGGTAGTAAAAAAATTTGAATCCCACCACTGCTCAGGCCAACTTGTTTTGCAAAGTCTTCAAATACCATATTTTTCGGACTATAAGACGCACCGGTGTATAAGACACACCAAGATTTCAAAGAGGTAAGTAAGAAAAAAAATGTTGTCCTCCCTGGCCCCCAGGAGCACTCTGCAGGCTTCAGCAGGGCTGGGGGAAGGCAAAAATGCCCCCATTTTTGTGAAAAATGGGCAGAAAATGGGCCATTTTTCACAAAAACGGGGGCCTTTTTGTCTTCCACCAGCCCTGCTGAAGCCTGCAGAGTGTTTCTGGGGGCTGGGAGAAGGCAAACATGCCTCTGTTTTTGCAAAAAAAGGATCATTTTTGTGATGCAGGGGCGGGGTTTTGGGAGGCCAAAAATGGCTGTATTCGGTGTATAAGATGCACCAACATTTCCACACTCTTTTAGGACGGAAAAAGGTACGCCTTATACTCCGAAAAATACGGTACTTTTTAGAGTCCCAATCCCAGTGACCCAGCCAATCCAAGCCTTCTGCCAATGGTATCTCACTTAGATGTCCTTGTATAAATGCTGCACATAGAATTTGGAGACGGGGGTCCCATTCGGATACTCACCTCGTCTGCAATGCAGAGACCTCCCCTTTCACGCACCAACTGATAAGCCTCCTTTAGGAACCCTTTGGGAAACTGAACAGCTCCATTTACGCCCTGGAGAAAGCAGACAGACGGAATCAAAGGAAATGGTGATCTTCCCTTTCATGGAAGAAAATTTCCACACAGACTCTTAGGGCTGGAAGGGATTTCAGAGGTTTTCTGGTCCAACTCCCTGCTCAAGACAGGAGTCTCATGCCACCCCAGTCAAATGGTCATCCAGTCTATTTTTGAAAACCTCCAGCGAGGGAGCACCCGTAACTCAAGGGTACCTCTTCCATTGATTAATTACTCTATCAGAAATGTTATCCTTACTTCTACGTTAGATCTCTTTTTGACAAGTTTCTACGCATTATTTCTTTTCCTGATCTCGGGTGCCCTAAACCAGGGGTCTGCAACCTTAAACACTCAAAGAGCCATTTGGACCCATTTCCCACAGAAAAGAAAACACCAAGAGCCACAAAACCTGGATGGGCGTGGCCAACTCAACATCACTCCCACCCTGTCACATGACACCCACCACCACACCTACCCAGATTTTGTGGGCCCCGGTGTTTTGTGTGGGAAATGGGTCTCTCTCTCTCTCTCTCTCCCTCCCTCCCTCTCTCCCCTCTCCTCCCATTTCTGTTTTCCTCTCCCTCTCCCTTGCTTTTCTTTCTTTCTTTCTTTCTTTCTTTCTTTCTTTCTTTCTTTTTCTTTCTTTCTTTCTCTCTTTCTTTCTCTCCCCCTTCTCTCCCACATTTGTTTCCCTCTCTTTTCCCTCCCTCTCATTCTCTCCCTCTAGCTCTCTCTCATTTCTCTCTCTCATCTCCCTCTCCCTCTCCTCCTTCTCTCAATTGTGCGACTGGGTTGGCAGGGAGCTGCAGGAGAGGGGTCAAAGAACCACATGCAGCTCCGGAGCAATGGGTTGCCGGCACCCACTCTAAACAATAAGTCAATCCACTCTCCACAGCCCCTCAAGTACTGGGAGACAGCTATCAAGGCCCATCTAATCCTTCTCTTCGGTAGGCTAGACATACCTAGCTCCCTCAAGTGGTTATCATACAATTTAGCCTCCTGGCCAGTTATCATCCTTTTGCTCTTCTCTGTACCATTTTCAAAGTTCTGGTTGTCTTTTTTGTATCTTTTTTGTATCATGATGGATTGAATTGGATGCAACATTGCAATTTCTCTACTCTCCTGGATCATCTGATCACCATTTACACCCTGGGTAAATGCTGCAGTCCTAGTGATGCACTTTGATGAGCATGACCAGGAGATGGCACTGTTGAATTTATTTTCCTTTTATCCCATTACCTGTTTTATCTTTTCTTGGCTACGGGGAGTAAGGAGATGCGATGAGCCCTACCTCTTTCACATGCTGGAATTAGAATACCTGGTGAAGTGACACCCATGGAAAATATGTGGTGGCAGCGGTAGAAAAGGAGGTATGAAACCTCCAACTTTCACCGTATGACTCAGCCATACTACATATTATATTCATCATGTAAGATGACAGGATGGCACTATGGGCCTGAACAAAAAGAGTCCATTCGAAGCAGGATATCTCAACCCAGGAGAAACAGTTTATCTGAAGGGTCCAGGGATTCAGCCAGTTCAGATTGGTTCGGCAAGCCAGATGTAAAATTACCATCCAGTACTTGCAAGGACTCCCCCCCCCCCGCCGCCGCCCCAACCCTCTCAGGAGTCTGTACACAGTCCGTTTTGGATGCCAGGTAAATGCAGGGCCCGTGCAGAGGCTCTGGGAGGGCAAAAGGGAAAGCCTCTGCAGCCTGGGGAGGGAGAAACTCTCCCCCTGCTGTGGTTCAGGAGACCGAGTCAGGAGACCATGGCCACACCCACCCAGCAACCAGGCAGAGAACNTCTGTAGGTGTGGCCTGCTTTCCGGGTCCACTGGTGGAATCTCTTCTAACCGGTTCGGTAGATTTGACGAACCGGTTCTACCGAATAGGTGCGAATTGGTAGGAACCCACCTCTGGTCCTGCCTCTCCTTCCTGCTCAAGAAAGTAACTCTTGAAACGAAGTATTTCAAAAGGAACCTTTTATTGAGCAGTAGTGATAGCAGAACAAAAGCAAAGCAGACTCTGAATTCCCTCACGCAATACAGTTAGAAATAAGGGATTAGAAACCCTTCCCGCCAGTCCGATGTGGATTCAGCCAATCCACAGACGTGGAGATGTTGCTGTAACGGATAACTTTCAGAATGAAACAATCCACATAGCCCTCCCCCCTAATACATTCCCCAAAAGGTGAGAAAAACTCAAGATGCTGTGGCACCAGGATAAAGTTTATAAAATAGCAGTTGTCAAAGGTAATAGGAAAGAAGTACATTTGGGGGGAGGGGGGGTTCCACCTCAATCCCCACTTGTATGGCAGTATCACTTTAGGGATCTGACACTATGTTTACTGTCAGGTTCGATAGAGATTCTCAATCATCACGGAGGTTACGGTTATCCCAAAGGTGTATTTTTTCCCCTCAAAGGCAACTGGACCATATTGGGGATTTTTACCTTTGAAAATGTTTCGCTTCTCACTGAAGAAGCTTTTTCTTCTGAAGAAGTTTTTTGGATGAGAAACAAAACATTTTCAAAGAAAACCCCCCAAGAAAGTCCAGTTGCCTTCTGAAAAAAAGCACTTTTGGGTTCACTGTCAGATATGCTACATGCATGCCAGTATTTCATCAGCTGTTCTTACACAAAAGTGACTTCCAAACTGAAATTTGTGCGTGGTATTGTCCTTTGAGAAGACACCAGCCACTTCCCCGAAGTTGAGGATTCAGTTTAAATTTTTGTTCTGTGTTAGTTTTCCATTCATTTCTAAAAGACACACCAACTGCCTTGCTTTAGGAGGGGTAGTTCCCTCAGGCCCGGAGGAAGTATTCAGCCAGTTCTGACAGGTTCTGGATAACCGGTAGTGGAAATTTTGAGTAGTTCAGAGAACAGTTAAATAGGCTGGCCCCGCCCCGTGCTTCCCAGCCTCCCAGCTGATCTTCTTTTGTTCCCCTGAACAGGAGAACTGAGCTGGAAAGCAGGTTAGTGGAATGGGGAGGGAATGGGGATTTTGCAGTATCCTTTCCCTGCAATGCCCACCAAGCCACACCATGCCCACCAAGCCATGCCCACAGAACTGGTAGTAAAAAAATTTGAATCCCACCACTGCTCAGGCCAACTTGTTTTGCAAAGTCTTCAAATACCATATTTTTCGGACTATAAGACGCACCAGTGTATAAGACACCGAATACAGCCATTTTTGGCCTCCCAAAACCCCGCCCCTGCATCACAAA